ACACTCGAACAAAAGCGTCGTTGACACGGCCAATTGTAGAAAAATCGCCCTAAATTCTCTACTCCCCAACTTGTCTCTAATTTTTTTAAGCGGTTGTTAGAGCAGGGGAAGATAAATCGACTGTAATCGATAAAATTATCAAATAATAATAATAAATCATCTTTTATAACAAATTTATTTTATATTTTTAACCTTTATATGTATTTAACCATTAACAAAAAAATTAGCAAAAAAATTAATGATCTATGATCCCTCCCCCGACACAAACATTGTGAGACAGGAAATTGTAGAGAGAAACAAGACCTTTAACATAAGATACAACATTTTAATGAACAGTGCTTTCAATAAAATCGATAAAATGAAAAATATACGAAATAATATATATGTACTGATTTCTTTCGAAAATCGACAACTATGAAACTATGATCCCTTCCCGGACACAAAAGGTACATTGTAAGACAGGAAATTGTAGAGAGAAACAAGCCCTATAATATAGGATACAACATTTTAATGAACAGTGCTTTCCATAAAATCAATAAAATGAAAAATATACGAAATAAAATAAATGTACTGATTTCTTTCGAAAATCGACAACTATGAAAATATGAACCCTTCCTGGACACAAACGGTACATTGTGAGACAGGAAATTGTAGAGAGAAATAAAACATTTTAATGAACAGTGCTTTCCAATAAATCAAATAAAATGAAAAATATACGAAATAAAATAAATGTACTGATTTCTTTCGAAAATCGACAACTATGAAATATGAACCGTTCCTGGATACAAACAGTACATTGTGAGACAGGAAATTGTAGAGAGAAACAAGCCCTATAACATAGGATACAACATTTTAATGAACCATTTAATGAACACATTTCCATAAAACCAATAAAATGAAAAATATACGAAATAATATACATGTTCTGATTTCTTTCGAAAATCGACATCCATGAAACTATGAACCCTTCCTGGACACAAACGGTACATTGTTAGACAGGAAATTGTAGAGTGAAACCCTATAACATAGGATACAATATTTTAATGAACAGTGCTTTCCATAAGATCAGTAAAATGAAAAATATACGAAATAAAATAAATGTACTGATTTCTTTCGAAAATCGACAACTATGAAACTATGAACCCTTCCTGGACACAAACGGTACATTGTGAGACACGAAATTGTAGAGAGAAACAAGCCCTATAACATAGGATACAACATTTTAATGAACAGTGCTTTCCATAAAATTAGTAAAATGAAAAATATACGAAATAAAATAAATGTACTGATTTCTTTCGAAAATCGACAACTATGAAAATATGAACCCTTCCTGGACACAAACGGTACATTGTGAGACAGGAAATTATAGAGAGAAACAAGCCCTATAACGTAGGATACAACATTTTAATGAACAGTGCTTTCCATAAGATCAGTAAAATGAAAAATATACGAAATAAAATAAATGTACTGATTTCTTTCGAAAATCGACAACTATGAAACTATGAACCCTTCCTGGACACAAACGGTACATTGTGAGACAGGAAATTGTAGAGAGAAATAAGCCCTATAACATAGGATACAACATTTTAATGAACAGTGCTTTCCATAATATCAATAAAATGAAAAATAAACGAAATAAAATAAATGTACTGATTTCTTTCGAAAATCGACAACTATGAAATTATGAACACTTCCCGGGCACAAACGGTACATTGTAAGACAGGAAATTGTAAAGAGAAACAAGCCCTATAATATAGGATACAACATGGATACAATATTTTAATGAACAGTGCTTTCCATAAAATCAATAAAATAAACTAACCTACTTATTACCTACAGACCTACTGCCATATTGTTACTACTTTTCATAAAACATATTATTATGTGTTATTGCAATATAACACAAGTCGAGTGTACTGGGTAGGCACAGATAGTTTTAAACACAATAACACAAATTGCTTTTGATTTTTCCCGCAAAGAAAAAGTTTAAATAATTACTACCTATACTTTGCCTATACTTTAAAAATGAACTAAAAATATCTAATACCTAGGTTTTTTGAAAAAGAAATACTTAACCTATTTAATAACAACAACTGTAAATTTGGTTTTAAACGGCTTATAAATAATTAAACTTTGCGGATATAGGTAATATATAAGATTTAAACACTTATTAATTGGCGCCAAATGTCACCCTTGAGATTGCAACCAATCAGAGATCTGAATTAGACCCCATGTTTCTGGTAACCTGGAATTCCAATAATGCTGTTCGTCTAATAATATACTCGCCTTACTGTACAAGACCAAGCCTACCTAAGATATACAAACCAGAAGTAGTAAAAAGAAAATTGTTTGCCATTTTCGCTCTACTGTGTTAAGTATGGCAATATTGCCATGGTATCAACACGTCATCGCGCGTATATAAACAAAACACAACTTAATAGGTAATCTTTGGTCAGACATTTTATCACAGCCACTTAGATTTTATCAAATAATAAAAATCTACTCAGATCAAATCATGTCAATGAAAATATCTAGGAAAATCTTTGTTTAAGGCGTAGGCAACCTTAATGGTATTTTGAAGAGACATGAATTCTCCATTGAATATCGGAATAATATACTGGGTGTTCCATTTAAAATAAGAGAGTAACATGCTTTTAAAAAGGTCACCAATGTTCAATATTAATTTTGCTCACCCTGTATAACTTTTTGGATCAAGTTTTAATTTGATTTAGGCTATATTAGGCTATACCGTGTAAATTCCAATTTAGATAGCTTTTATTGTAATTTAAGAATTGTTCATTATTTCTAGAAAATGTTAAATATGTCAAAAACCTTACATATTTGAGTCATGTACTTCTTATAAAACTCACCTTTATTTTTCTCCCAGAATCCGAAAATCAATTAATATATAGGGTGTGCCATTACAAAAAACACAACTTTGATATGTAACTTTTTTTGGAGACACCCTATAGAACTCTCTATATTTTTAAAAAGTGCTCTGTATTAACCTACATATATGCTCACAAAATTTCATTTCAATACAAACTGTCGTTCTCCTTGAAACCTCCGCGGCGTATGAGAGGCGCCACCCTGTATAATGTTTAATTTTTGCGCAATTTTTTGCTTTTTATTGCAGATTTGAAACATTTTAAGCCACATCACTGCGAGAAGCCCATGACTACCATGTTTTCAACAGTAGCTCGTTCTTGAAAAGTTTAATAATTTGAAATAAAATATTTAAATGTTTTTTTTTATATTTTCAAATATACAGGGTGGCCCATCGAAAACGTTCCGCAAGGCATAACAGCCAGTTTTTTTTTCAAAAAATCTAAAAACACGTCAATTTTGTTTGTGAGGGGGACAACTTTTGCCCCAAAAATGATTGCAAAATCTTCAACCTTCTAAGCGGGGGTGTCATCCCCCAACTTTTTTCAAATGGGAAGGGGGGTCAAGTGGCATCTCAATGAAAAGGGCTTTCGATTCTCTATATTTCCCCACTTCGTTTTTAAAAATCGGTCGAGTCATTTTGAAAATATGAAAGATTGAAATTTGAAAAGTACTTTTTGCAAAAAACGCATAAATTGAATTAATTTAAAAAAAACTTATCTTATTAACGAAGCAAATGCTGAAAATGTTGCCCGTCAACCTCCATACATTAAAACAAATTATTTTCAATCCGTTCTGGAACATTCTGAAGAATTTGCGGGGTCACTTCGCGACAAACATCAATAATTCGTCTTCGCAGCTCTTCTAATGAGGCGGGTGGAGTGCTATACACTTTACTTTTTATGTGTCCCCATAGAAAAAAGTCTAATGGAGTCAAGTCGGGCGACCGGGGAGGCCACTCAATTGCACCCCTTCGTCTTATCCACCGAACGGGAAAGTTATTGTTTAAATAATTACGCACATTTTGAGAGTAATGTGGAGGTGCCCCGTCTTGTTGTAATATTAGTTCTGCTTCAACGTATCCAGGATTGTTCTCTATGATGTCAGTTAGGGCTGGGTCGATGGTATTTTCCAGTAAATCCAAGAACATATCACCTGTTAAAAAAAGGACTCACAATAGAATTTCTAAAAATACCAGCCCACACTTTCAATTTCTGAGGGTTTTGGGTGTGCACCTCGTGAAAAACCCTGGGGTTGTCCTCGGCTCAGTACCGACAGTTGTGCCGATTAACTACACCGTTCAAAAAGGAAGTACACTCTACCTAACCTGATCGTTCAACCTTGTGGCAAGTGAAAAAATGCGTAAACATCTAGAAATAATAAGAAAAAAACGGCAAATCGGTCGAAGGAATTTATCCTTATCATTTACTCTGATAAATGTTTAAATTAGCGATGGGAACTATCGAATGAATTAGACTGTCAAATGGTTACGAGAGTTGAATGATTTCAACTATCGAATGGTTTTATTCGAATAAAATCATTCATTCATTTGTATACTAAAGCATATGTGACAACCTCGCCGTGCAACTAAATGGTTATCGTTGAGCCACGACTATCGAATGCTTTTGATAAATGAAATTTAGTATTCGTTTGATTTTTGTGTACGTCAGTGCATTATTAGTTCTTCCAAATTTTTATAACTTCACCTTATAAATACTGTGCTATTTTTGCGTTTATTAAAATATTTAAAATACTAAAATAGTAGTTTTTTTTAATTGACGATTGTGTGCGTGTGCAGGTGTCAAAATTTTTCCGAAAATTTGTGTGATTTTCCGTAGCCTGATCTTTCAATTATTTTATTTTGTATGATATATATGGTCTATTTTTTAATGGGAAATTTTGAGAAGTAGCAATTTTTAAGAGAGATGAGATGAACTTAGAATTAATTTTAAAAATACATATTTGTATTTTAGACGTTTTAATAATATGAATTAGTTGAACTTAATAATCATATTTAAGTAATGTGGTTAAGTAAATGTGGTTATTGAACTCAAACTATGGGGTGTGAAAATTAAATTGAAAGTTTTACACGTGCTAATTTAAAAAAAAACCTGTTTAAAATCCAAAATCATTTATTAAACAAAGTAAAGAACAGAAATAAAAAATCTATAACAATACTAGTCAATTATAAGGATTAAGAGGAAAATATACGTAGTGAAGAAAGCACAATATTTTTAAGAAGTGAAGGTTAATATTAAATAATATCCTCAACAGAGAGAAAGCAGAAAAAAAAACAAGTTAAAATTCATCTTCCTCGGAGAATCTTTCAGGTTTTCCCTCGCGCCTTTATTTATTTTTTATAAATCTTTCCTTTGTCCCGTTGTCTCAGTTTCATTTTGTTCCCATTCCTTCACCTGTTCCCTTTGCCTTTTTTCCATCGATTATAAAATGAAGCGATCGACTCGATCACGATCCCCACCGACTGCGCCAACCCCACGTAACTGAACTCTTTGTTCTCGCCGTTGGTCAGCAAGGTCTGGTTGCCGGTCAGCAACGTGACCACGTTGCTGGCGCCTCGTTGCTGCTCGGCGAAATAGTGGCAGCACTCCACGATCTGGATGTAGAGGTGCATCTCTTTGTCTTTGCGTTTGGGGTATTTGATGAAGGGGATGGGTGTCCGTTCTTGAGGTCGTTGCGAGCGGAAGAAACGGTTGCCGCGGTGGAACTGGGACTCGAGCCAGCGAATGGCGTCGCGCGCTTCGATTTTTTGCTTTTTCAGGTCGTCCAAGGCGGACACGACTGCAAAAGAAAACAAAAAAAAATAGTTAACATTTCAGATCATATAAAGTAATCGCAAAACAATTTCCGATGCACGTGACAAATTTTGAGTGACAAGCGATGGCGACAGCGCCACCAGAGTGTAATGAATTTATGAGATGAATCTTAATGTAAAATTGTGAAACAATATATTTATTATATAATTTTTTAAAGATTTTATGTTTTATTTTTAATTTAATAACTATACAGGGTGCTACAAATTCGAGGAACGAGCATTGGTATCTCGGTAACTGTAACAGATACGAACATGGTTAAATTGGGGCAAAGTTGCGCTTTGGGATGTTCACCAAGATGCCATCAAAAAACTTTTAAAAATTTCGGGGATTGCTGAGTTTTTTGGAAAAAACTGATTTTTTTGAAAATCAATTTTATTTTTTCCTGTCGTTACTTTTTAGAAAATCAACAAACTAATTACAGATTCTCATAGCTACTTTATTAGGGCTATCTGATAGTATTTTTAGATTTTCAAATTAGCTGATAATTTGTGAGATACAGAGACCAACTTGTTTTTTTTAAATACGGACCTACATTTTTTATTTCAGATTTTGAAAGAACTCGGTCTCCTGAGTACAATGATATGCCACACTTAATATTTTTTTTTGTTTTGACATTTGAACACAATTTATTTAAACTAATTTCAAGTTCGGTCCTGTTTTTTTTTAATATTTAATCTATTCATCGTTACAATATTGAGATTAGCATTCAAACTTAACAATGACGTGGAGTAAAGCATTGAATATGGAAAATCAAATGCAATAAAATAATATAAAATAATTAATACAAATATAATATAATATAAACAATCAAACCATTTTCCCGGAAGATGGATTGGAAATGGTACAGCAGTATAATGTTCAGCGAGGTTTCTGGACCTATTGCCAAGTAGCTACATTACTTGACGTCATCTCTAAAAGTGAAATCAATTCATCTCAACATTTACAATAAAGACTACAAAATGCATTCGGAAGTATAAGAAGAAAGTTCAAAGCGCTATAAATAAAATTGAACGAAAAATAAATTTGTTCAATAAGGAGGGTGGTATAGTCTGTCCAACGAAAAGATCCTTGACAGTGATAGATGTGTCTGTCATTTTAATTTCAAAGTAGTTTATTTTATTTTACAAAGAGAAATAAGTTGATACAACTGGAACGCATAGCAGGAAATTAATATATGTATTTAAAATTTGACTGACAAGTAACTTCAAAATATTGTGAAAAAAAAACTGTATAAAACTGAAAAAATGTAATCGAGTTATTTTATTTAATAAAAAACGGTATGTGTTAATATAAAACAAACAAAAACAAGACACCACATACCAAAAAATATAAAACAGAACTATTTCTTACTTTCAAGCTTTATGAAACTTCCCGCATTTATGATTATATTTATCAATATAACTTATGTACAAATACAAATTTGTAATATTCCGCAGGAATAAATAAAACAACATAAATAAAACAAACTACTTTATTAAGAATAACACTTACCAAATTTTATACCTCACAGGTTGATTAATTAACTTTCATCTTATTTTTTTTTAAACCAGTACCTTTTGACATTATTTTTCTGCAGTACTAAAATCCATTATTTACCTATCGTGCGATGTCGATATTTTACAGCTACTCCAGTTTTAGTATGTGTTTAGTATGGTCCTTCTACCATATTCGAGATGCACTTATCTACGACGAGATGGTATACGAACTTTATTGATAGTAACTTTATTGGTGTATCTGTATAAGACTTTCTGCTTGGGCAGCGAGTATTAACCATAAACTGTGCTCTGGGTTCTACAGTTAATTTTCACTCGATTTTTCCTCCACTTGACTTCAAAAGACACAAAACACACGAAATAACACGAATCAAAATGGATCATCTTTCAAAACGCAGGGTATTTGACAAAAGTTGTCACAAAATTATAACCTATAATTTGGCAAGACTTTGACAAACGTCAAAAATCTAAAGGCGAGTTCATACGCATCGGCGTCCGTTTGTCGTTCATCGTTCCGTCAAACCAATAAAATTGAAATACGATCTGTCATTTTTGAAATAAACCAATAAAACTGGTTAAAAACAACAAGTGACGACGCATGACGAATTTATATTTAAACCCATCCATAGATAACTTAAAAATTATTAGAAACTTTTTTTAGTAAAATAAATAGATTGGTATGGGACGTCATCTGCTTTTCTTCTGTCATCGTCTGTCGAAATCTTACCTGACAAAAAAAAAACAGAGTATAACCATGGTACAAAGAATACAAGGTATGATCGATAGCGGCTCCAATTTCGTTCAGTTCGCGCATACCACCTGTGACGTCACTAGGAAAATAATGAATGAATAAAAAATAAAGAAAGTTGACAGGAGATCTGCATTTTTCAGGTTATGGTTAAGAATTGTTTATTTTTAAGACATTTTAGTTCGTTTAATTTAATAATTATTAAAACCAGCAGTTCCAAAAATATATTTAAAAATAATAATTATCTATTAACATGGATTTGGACGATAGGTAAGAATACTGAATTTATTTCTATATTCGGTATAAAATTGTTTATTAGGTTTTTAGTTTGCGATGTTTATGGTAAATAATTTTCATTTTCATTGCCTCTGAATTCACATGAGGACAGAGTTGAGGATATCTATGGAAAAGTAACCACAAGAGGAATTGTTACATCATTTAAAAAATATTGGGAAGTTTATTGTTTCCCATCGAAAAGTAGAAAATGCCAATGCAGATGAACGTATTGTAATTGTGATAGAAGTAATTCTAAGGGTGAAGTTTATTATAATTAGTGGAAGTAATACCAAGGGTGAAGTTTATTATAATTAGTGACCTCTGCTTCTTTTTATATGTAGAAGTTTCTGGTTTTGAGAATAAATCGGTTGAACGACACCCAAAATTTAAAGGAAGTATTTGCATACCCAGAATATGCCCATCAAGGATTATATAGCTCAAATTTCCTTTAATGGTAGGCAATTATTCAATGCAAATTAACTTTTTAAGTGACTAAAATATTAAATAGTTTACAATATGGTATATCACTAAAAATATATTACTTTTAGGTACAATTAGGGCCCGATACATTTCAAAAAGTAGAATATTATTTTATATTAAATGAGGTATTGTACTAACAATCAATTTATATTAATAACGGAGATTAAAAAATAACAGAATAAATAGTTCTTTTTTATACTACAAAAATAAACCATAGAATACAACAGTATTTAAAAAATAAATAAAAGTGATGTTCCGGCCGAGATTCGAACTCCGGTCTCTCGCTTCCCTAGCCACTCCTTATGCACTGCTCCACAGTAACCTGCTTAGCGATAATTCAATGACGGTATATAAACAAAAAAAACAGGTTTATAACAATATCTTGACGATTTGAACTGGCGCGCGGAGCGTGCTGACCAATAGCGCCTGTTATCACCTGTGACGTAGCGACCAACCTGCGCAATATCATACCTTGTATTCTTTGTACCATGGAGTATAACCCTTTTGATGCAGAACATTAGAAACTAGTGTGTAGAAGTTGATTTATTTATAATAACAACGATTAATATTATGCATATTATTAGATCGAACATTGAGATTTCAAATTCACAATAAAAAAGTTAGAAATAGTATCTTTAAATTTCTGACCTGGATATATAATTAGCGCTAATCAATATTGTTGCGATGAATATAATCAGATTAAATAATTTAAGAGGTTTCTTAAATCATTTATATATTAATTTATATATTAATTATTATAATTTCAAGCCAAAACAAAAAAAGTAAAAAGTGTGGCACATCATTGTACTCATGCCCAAAACAAAAAAAAGTATAAAGTGTGGCATATCATTGTACTCAGGAGACCGAGTTCTTTCAAAATCTGAAATAAAAAATGCAGGTCCGCATTTAAAAAAATTAAGTTGGCCTCTGTATCTTACAAATTATCAGTTAATTTAAAAATCTAAAAATACTACTAGATAGCCCTAATAAAGTGGCTATGAGAATGTGCAATTAGTTTTTTGATTTTCTAAAAACTAACGACAGGAAAAAATAAAATTCATTTTCAAAAAAATCCGTTTTTTTTTCCAAAAAACTCAGCAATCCTTGGGATTTTTAAAACTTTTTTGATTTCATCTTGGTGAACATCTCAATACGCAACTTTGCCTCAATTTAACCATGTTCGTATATATTACGAACACCGAGATACCAATGCTCGTACCTCGAATTTGTAGCACCCTGTATATCTTAGAAATTAATTAATTTATTAACAGTAGTCACTAACACTCACAGTAGAAATATTTAAATATAAAGGACGGTTCACACTTGCTATATAACACTGCTGGGCGGTGACAATTTCGATGCTCAATATTGGCATCTCAGAAAGCACGATAGATACGAAATCGGTTAAATGGGACAAAAGTTGCGTAATTAGAAGTTTGACAAACACCTATGAAGAAAACCCCGGTATCTTGATTAGTTTCGGATTTATGTCAAAAAAATGAAAATAATGCGTTTATTTTATATGAGAATATCTTCAGAACTATTATATCTATTGCAACGTAAGTTGGTAGTTTTATATTTTTGACCCCGGCCATTTAAATGCCGTTTTCAGAAATTTTCTAAGCCTTATAGATTTCGCACAACAGTCAAGTTTTTCTTTTCTTATGGCCGCCATTTGGAATTTTTATACTATTAGATAGAGCAAAAAATAATCTATACGGTATCTAATTTTTATTCATTATTATGTAAATTTACCAAAAAAAAATAGATTTTTTAAAAATTCGCTCAAAAGATCAAGTCTGCCTTGGAAATCCAAATGACACTTTATATGACAGCAAGTTAATTTTGGTTTACTTTAATAAGTATCAAATCTGGACACAAAAAATTATAGTAGATAGTGTAAAGTGTATTAACACTCAACAATATGTTCACAAGTGAGGAAACACGAGATATGTATGATGTTTATTTCAAAAATAATAGAAATTCCGATATGGCATGCGCAAGTTATAGAACATTGTATCCTGAAAGGACACAGCCTCATCGTACTATTTTCGCAAGGATTTCAAGAAATTTAGCAGTTGCTGGTAGCACAGATTAGATATCCTATAAGTATACAGATAAAAATCTTGTCCCTAATTCGTAGTACGAAAATTGTTTTTTATGACGATGTGCAAACGAGTAAAATTTCCTGTGCGCAAAAATAAACTCGCGTAAAATAACAATAAACAGCGTAATAGAGAGATATCGTTAAACCGAATAGCGTGCATGGACGTTAATAAGGCCAGGTGTTATTTCCTTTACGTGAGGTGGTATTAACTCTCTTCATTTATAGTTATCGGATCGGAAAGAATTCTGTTCGCGTCGCGTCCGCTACTTAACTTTAACCTAACTTTGAATTTAAAACTTTGAAATTGTTTTTTTTACCAGGTATTTTAAAATTAAAGGGCTAAAGTGCTTATTTCCAGTGCTTTATTGTTCAACGTCTGCCAGTGGGTTTAGGGCAACAAGCAACAAATTCTCTTAGAAGGGCTAAGTTGTTATCTGCTGTAAATCTAAGCCTCTTTATAGGTTCCTTAATATTGGAAGAGGTGGAATCCATATTTTGGGCCATATTTATTTAATTAAAACTAATCCCAGCTACTTAAATATCAGATTACCTAATAAAACTAAAGTAATAATTCAAAACAATTCAAACATAACCTAAAATAAAATCTCGCCGGCAGGCCCAGGTTGTAAATACCCGCACATGCCCATTTAAGCAATTTTTAAACGTTATTTAGAAATAGCGCTTGGTGTAATTGATCCGCAAATTACGTCAGGCGGTAACGTTATTAGCGGGTGTTGCGTTAAAAATTGACTCACGCATATCGTAACCATGATAAGGTACGCGTAAATACTGCATGACGCTATTCGGTTTTCCGATATCTCTCTAATAACTGTGCCGGGCAGGCGCTGTGCACAATTTTAGAAGCCATAAGTGGGCGTGCTATGTGCGCAAACTAGTCACCTAACTAGTGCCCGATTCCGAAAATTGGAACCACGAAAAACAATAAAGAAAAAAACAAAGTTTATAATCTGTGCTGGTAGCTTTAAAAAACAAGAGGGCACTATTTTATAAAAGCTTATGATATTAATATACCAGCTTAGATTGAAATAAATCCGGAAAGTTCTAGTCGTAAAATAAGTCGCATGTGTTGTGTAAGCGATTCTTATGTAGGGAAAATTATCAAAAAACATGAACATTTAAAAATTAAAACACATAAATGAAAAAATTTCAATGGTTCTTATTTTTATCACGTCTGTCAAAGTAGAAAAACTATCCAAAAAAACTAGTAAAAATTAAAAAATAAGACAATGAAAGAAAAAACAAGATTAAAAACATACATAAGAAAAAATTAGAAAACCTTAAAAAATCAAAAATTTACCTGCTGCTGGTATAAGAACAATAAACTTCCTCGCATGGACCAGCTGCTTGACCATGTTCGTACACTTAATCAAGGCGTCAGCGTCCAGGACCAAATATGGCGAAAGCGCCGGTCTGGCACCGCCCACCTTAGTCTCCAGCGCTCGAACCTCGGCGTCCAGCCACAACTGGCCCATGTGCTTCATCTTGTCGGAGGTGGCGCTGGTTTTTTGCACGTCGCCATTGGTCAGGCTGGTTTTGGATGGGGTGGCGTTTAGTTCTTGACGTTCCTAAAAAAAACAAGTTAATTTTTATTTCAAACCTGAGATTAAACATTATTTATAAACATTTCGTATACCGGGTGTTGCATCGTCGAGCGGGACGTAGCAAATCCCATGTAAATTTTAATGGGGTCAATTATTGGGTTCCCTGATTATTTTAGAGAATAATTCTATTTAGGTTTATTGAAGAGCACTAAAACCCACATTCAAAAGAATAACTTTAGATATTTTTGATTAGCCCGTTTACTAGTTATCGCCGATTTCTTTTTTAAATATTTCTCCTTTCTTATGGCCCTGTATTTACTTATGAGCACCAGTCAAGGTAAAAGATAACTGTCAAATGAAGTTGTCATTTCAGAAATTTATCTATTTAGTGCTTTATTATTATTATTGAAAACTCATACCTACATCGAAAATATTAGCCATGAATAACACTACCGAAGAAAAAGTATTGATGATTAAATGGTATTATCAAGGAAATAGTTATCAAAAGGTGTCGGACATGTTTGCTGCTCTGTATCCGAATAGACCGATACCTGGAAAATCTACAATCGCAAGAAATATCCAGAGATTTGAGACCAAAGGTACTCTAAGAAATAACTGCGGATGTGAAGCAAGGCAGGAACAAAGAGAAGATGCAAGAAATGATACCGACTTGGAAGTTTTATTGTGCGTGGAAAAGAACGATGGAAAGATCAGCACAAGGAAATTTGAGGATGAAATAGGAATAGATCACACTACAGCGTTTCGAATTTTGAAACGATATAAATACTATTCCTTCAAATATGAAAAGCACCAAGAGCTACGAGATGAGGACGAAATACGGCGACAGGCGTTTTGTTTTGATATGATAGAAAGAGCAAACACGGAGAGGGAATTTTTAAAAAACATATGTTTCACTGACGAATGCACGTTTACCTTAAATAATGAACCCAATGTTCAAAATTATCGATATTGGAACAAAGAAAACCAACACAGGTTTGTCGAAACAAGGCCGTAATATCCACAGAAAGTAAATGTTTGAGCAGGGATATTCGGACACAATATTATCGGGCCATTATTTCTTACGCGAAATTTAAATGCAGAATATTATTTGGAACTACTCGAAAATCATATTTTACCTGCTTTACATGATGCCGCTAGGGAAAATCAGGAAGTTTGGTACCAAATGGATGGCTGCCCGACACATAGTACCCTGGCTGTTCGAGAATATTTAGACAATAGTTTTAACGGAAACGTTATTGGCCTAAATCATACAGTAAATTGGCCAGCAAGGTCTCCTGATATTTCGCCAAATGATTTCTTTCTCTGGGGCTATTTAAAAAACAGGATATACAAGGATAAAAAATACCCAAATCTAGACGAGTTAAAAAATGCTATTTCTGCTGAATGTAATAGAATTTCAGTTTACCAACTAGCGAATGGAAGAAGAGAATTTTATGATCGCCTGGGTTATTGTCTAGCAGTCGGATGTCTAGTAGTAGTAGTAGTAGTAGTAGCAGTCGATGGAGGAATATTTGAACATCTTAAATCCTAAAGTTCTAACAATTTAATAGTACCTAAATTAATAAGTTATTGAATATTGTAATAATACTATAATTAACCTTGTAATTGATTACTTTATTTTACTTTAATTCATATTAATTTGTATTTATAAATACATCTTTAAAATTTCCGATGTAGGAATGAGTTAGATTATTCTCTAAAATAATTAGGGAAGCCAATAATTGAGCCCATTAAAATTTACATGGGATTTCCTATGTCCCGTCCGACGATGCAACACCCGGTATAAGTATGCATTTGTGTTTTCAACGTGCTTAAAACAGCTTAGCTAACTTCTTATTACAAAGATTAAAATTATTAAAAACATTGATCAAAAAAATGGCGTCCAGTTGGCTTGCAAATGACGATGAGTGACAAGTTTTCCGAGAAAATGTATTTTCTTATAATTTAGACCTCATTTATCAACATACCCATGAAATATTGACATTTTAAATAATTTTTAAAAGCAACAAATGTACAAAATGTACAAGGGGTAAAACCGATAGTATTGCTAGCCCATTTGTTTACAAAAAAACCTATTTAAATGTTTGTAAAAGAGTATACCAATTAAATATACCACCATTATTTCCGCCCAAATGTTAATTAATTCCATACTTAATTGTGTTCGTTAATAAATTATTCTAAAAAAATGTGGATTTGAATCAGAAATTAATATAATGATAAGCTATGAATGTGAACGTCTCTCTTGATATAAATAAGTATTTGTCAAAAAATACAGTCAATTAATGTACTTCGAACACTCGGATCATATTAATTGGCCCTCTTTTACAAATATTTAAATAGCTTTTTTTATTTTTTAATAAAATAAGCGCACTATATCAATAATATTAGTATCTGTGCTCTTTGAAAATGTATCATCTTTAAAAATAATCTAAAATGTCAATATTCCATGGGTATATTGAGAAATCTGGTCTAAATTATAAGATAATGCATTTTCTGTGAAAACTTGAAGAGCTAGGTAAAAAATTGTATAATATGATGGACAATTAAATTCTGCATCTGATTCTTGTAAAATATACAGGGTGTTTCATTCAAATTAAAGAAGTTGTTGCTGTTGAAAGCTAGTAATTATTTAAAATAATTTTTTAGACACTCTGTATAAGGTAGTATTATTTTTATTATTGCAACACAAAATTTAGTAAATAAAAAACTTCAGCACAATATTTCCTTCAATGATCCCATCACTCACAATTTCTAAAAATCTAATAGTGTGGATTCAATACTTCACGCCAAATAACTCTGTATATAAAATTTATATTAAACTAAAATTAAAAAAAATACTTACCAATTCCTCCATAATGGCAGCAGCAGAAACTCCCTCATTTACCATTCCATTTTCAGATTTACAAACAAAAATATTTTTGTCTTCGTTGAATGTCACTCCAGTTTCCTCGATTTTGGTCAAAATCTTTCCAAAAGACAAAATCTTCACTATTCTGATAATAGACTCATCTCTCAATCCAATATTCTTCTTGAAGGGATAATTCCAATCATAACCGGCCTGCGTGTCTTTGAAAAGATCGAAATTTTTTAAAACGACATCTTCGGAAAGAGGAATTTTAGTTTCGTTGTTTAGAATCTCCGATATCTAAACAAAAAGAGAAATATTAAAAAAATAAACAATTCTATTGCTGTACTACATCATCAGAAGTAAAAAGACGTCGCAGTAGCTTATGAAATAAGAATGAACGAAAATTTCTGTCTATTTGCTTTGACAATTAAACTCACTTATACACTGAAAAAAATATTTGTTTATATACAGGGTGTCCCAATATTCCGTGGACATAGAGCTACTGCGTATTTTATGAATTAAAATAAGTTCATTGGGCACAATTTACCTCTATACAAAAGTGCATCGTTTGTCCACTAGAGGGCATCAAACTTTTAAAAAAATAAACACATTTTTCAGATATTTTAAAAAGCGTTATTCCGTTTTGAATAAGATTTTGGAAGTTTATGTTTTACTAAGTGTTTTAACATTTGACTTTCAGATAAATCAAGAAAAAGTATGGGAAGAGTGAAAACTACCCCACTCCTACATACATTTTAGCATAAATATTTTCCAACTCCACCGCCGCACATTGGGCCAGAAACAACTTAAAACGTGGAATAATTCAAAAAAATAAAATTGAGAAAACCCCTTTATTTTTAATTAATGATAGTTAAGAAAACTCTAGAGAATCATCAAATAATATAATAACTGACATAGGTTACCATGGTAAGTGTATGTGCACTTAAAACGTCGAAACGTGGTTTATTTTATTCCGCTTATGTAAAGATTTCTTGTACAAAGTGATTCCAAATATTTTAGAAGTTTGTGGCAGGTTTACAACGGGTGATACAAGTACTGTTAAGTTTATTTTATTTATTTGTACTTAATTTTAAACAATATGTAACATTATGATCACGGTTTAATGCAAAAAACGTATCATTATAATATACTGATTGTTTTCTTTTTTAAAAATATAGAAAAATAAGTGGGTTCTCCTCAAAGGGCCAGGTGTCTGGGTTATGTTTTTATTTCCTCAAATAGTCTAGTTTTCAAAATTAAATAGAGTTACTGCGATTTTTTGCGACTTCGTAAGATATGAACAATTATGTACATCAATACTATACAAAACACTGTTTCTATTAGCTGTAACTGGGAATAATTTCTATTCCCATTTTTTTTGTATCTATACTATTTATAAACTTAAGAAATCGATAGAACATCAAAAATAATGAAAAAAGTTCCTATAAACATGTGTCCGGATCCGGAAATGCTTGCATATACTTTTCGAGATTCAGGGTCCCAAAATTTTATTTTTACTTTTGTTTCCTGCGTCTAATTTCCTACATAATTTCGATATTTAGATGAAAATTGGTATCTAGGAGTTTTTTGACGTATAACGTGCATCGATTATTTCAAATCCAAATAGAAATATTATACAAGGTCTTACAAAAAAGTCACGAAACTTTAAATGAATGAAAATATAATATGTAGGTGGTGTTCCCCTCAAGTAAGAGTAAAATTAAAGTAAGGATAACATTTAAATTTCTTATGTCAAAAAACCTCTAGATGCCAATTTTCATCTAAATATTGAAATTAAATAGAAAATTAGGCGAAAAAAATAAAAATAAAAATACAACTTTGACACCCTGTATCTCGAAAACTATGCATTTCCGGACACATGTTTAGAGAAACTTTTTTCATTATTCTTGATGTTCTATTTATTCCGTAAGTTTGAATTGCCAAGTCTAAAACACCCTGTATATCGATTAATCTTTAGTCTGCTCTATATAAAATGTTTAAGTGTTATTAACAAAAACTAACGATTTAAAAAAATATATTGGTTCATTTAATACGTAATTTTAGCCTAAAAAGTTCATCAGGAATGATACAAAAGTTTTTCAATATTATTATATTCAATATTATATGCTTCCAGCAAGACTAAAACAGAAGTATGACTATACATACTCTAAGTATGAAAAATGGTGCACCGAAAAAAAGAACACAACTATGGAAATGAAAAAGCGCTCATAACATATTTTTCCAATTTAGAGCAAAATAAATGTTTTACAAAATATTTTTTTCTCTTTGGTAGTCATCCAAACAAGGGGTGCGGTAATGAGAATGCGTGAGTTAAGAAGCTCTTAACTCACTCAAAATGCGTGAGTTAAGAGCTTCTTAACTTACTGACATAGATATAATTAATTAACGTTTGGGTTTATCTTTGATTGACGCCCTCTAACAGACAAACAAAGCACTTTTGTATAAAGGTAAACTATGTGCTTATTATAAAAATAAATAATTAAACTTATTTTGATACAAAAAATATGTAGTTGTTCTATGTATGTATAATATATACAATTAATACCATCAAAAATAAATCCTCTTGTGGGACCGACGGGCTAACTTTAAAAATGTTTTCGAATCTGCCAGAAAGCACTCTGAATCACCTAACAACTTTAATAAACATGACGTTCCAAAATGGTATTTTTCCAAAATGTCTTAAGACGGCAATAATCATTCCTCTGCATAAAGGAGGAGACAAAGATGAAGCTACTAACTATCGCCCAATTGCACTCCTTCCAACGCTATCTAAGATCATAGAAAGGTTGGTTAAAAGAAGGCTGGTATCTTTTCTGTTTAAGTACAAAATACTTACTGAATATCAATTTGGATTTCTAAGCAACAAGTCCACAAATGACGCTATGTTTTCCCTCCTTAATAAAGTTTACTCCAGCCTAAACAACCATCATTCTACAGCAACAATTTTCTGTGATTTTTCTAAGGCGTTCGATTGTGTAAATCATAAGATCTTAATTAATAAACTGCAGCACTATGGGTTCAGGGGATCATCTCTCGAATGGTTTAAGTCGTATCTGAGCAACAGAAGTCAACTTGTGAGGGTGGATATCACGTTGTCTTCTAGCAAGCCAATAGAATGTGGAGTACCACAAGGCTCAGTACTAGGCCCTATTTTGTTTCTTCTTTTTATTAACGACATTGCTAACATAAACATCAGTGGCAAAATATGTCTTTTTGCGGACGACCCTAGCTTCACTTGGAGCAACAAGGACATCACGGCACTTCATAGGATTATATCAAATGACTTAATCACCATTAAATCTTGTTGCGATTCGAACCTCCTGAGTCTCAACATTTCTAAAACTAAAGCTTTGTCGTATAAAAACTCGCTGCAGCCTTTTGTACTTAACAACACCAACAAATCTGTAAAGTTCTTGGGGCTTGTTGTGGACAATTCTCTGAAATGGGACATACATATCGAAGCTTTGTCGAAAAAAATGAGCTCTGCCTGTTTTGCATTAAGGTCTGTTTCTAAGGAGCTTAACTTGTCAGTGGCTAGAACTGTTTATTATGCACTTTTTGAGTCGCACCTCAGGTATGCCCTTCCATTCTGGGGTACGTGTTGTGCGACTCAATTTGACCGCATTTTCAGGCTCCAGAAGAGAGCTGTTCGATCTTCACTGGGACTAAACAGCAGAACTCATTGCCGGGACTTTTTAAAAATTAAAAATATTGACTCTTCCTTCCTTATTTATATTTGAATCCGTTTGCCTAATACGTAAACATGTATCAGCTTCTCAAGAAAGGCCATCTCACACTTATCCACTCAGGAACGCGGAGCAAGATCTTTATCTACCTACCCCACGCTCAGAGTTAGTTAAAAGTTCAATATTATACAACTCGAAAAAAATGCACAATCACCTGCCATTTGAAATCAAATCCATAACATCATTTTTTTCATTTCGCAAAGCATTGAACTCTTATTTACTAGACAAGGCTTTCTACGCTGTAAATGAATTATATTTTGAAAATCAAATTTGATCTTGTAAACACTGGTCTAATGTTTGCTATTGCTATATTTACTAATGACATCGAAATGAATTTATTTAGAGGTCATTGATATTTTACTATAAACTAGCTAAATATTTTTGAATATTATTTTTATTTTTTGTTCTTTAACATTATAAACATTTATAAATGTTTATTTTAACAATAAGACTGACAATATTATTTGTATAATGTTTTGTATTATCTTTTGTTTGTTTGTTTGTGTACCTTGTTTTTTTACTTTGTTTGTTAGTTTACCTTTGTCTACAAATTGAAAATTTTTTTGACAATAAAGGCATTTATTTATTTATGTCCACAAAAAATTGGAACTTCCTGTATATTTTCTAGGTCTGCTTTGGAAAAATAAATTCTTCAACAATTTTTTTCACAAAAACTATACAATATATGTGGCGTTTTTTTACAAGAGACAAAAAATGGAGTAAATACCAGAGGAACCATTTTACGAAAAGAAAATCTGTTGTCATTGGATTTGGAAAATATTTATACTAAAATTTATGTTATGCTAGTTTTCACACTTCATAAAAAAGTTAGACGAGGAAATAAAAAATAAACTAAAATCGACATTTCAAAAACTACCGTGACGTCGTTTATTTTTCTATCGCATGTTAATACTTACCCTTATACTATTAGTTATTTTGGTGCTTGTCAAGTTGATATTTAACAAATTAATCAAATACACAATCTGTTTGATTAGCGTTTGGGTATTGCTTCCGCAAGATTTTATGATTTCTTCGTCGGATTTTAGCCAGTCGTTCATAATTTTGACGCTCTGCAACGATCCCGACTCGTTTATAATTTCCAACATGTCGTTGACGTTCATTTTTTGCACTTTTTTCAAAACCGACGAATTATTCTTTGGCTGACTTGATGCGGATTCTTCAGCGTGATTTAAACCGTTTGTTACTGGTAATTCTTCATCTTTGGTTTTCTCGGACAGTCTCTCACTCGACACCTTAAAGAAAAACAAAATTATTTTTCTATGAAAGTGGCGCAAAAACGTTATGACCAATAATAGCGCCGTCGGACCATCGTATCAACGGATAATGGACGCATGAAAATCAAAGTTAAGCATAAAGGTATGAAAATATATTATTAAACTGACATAAAGTGTCAAATTCAACGAGCGTAACCATATAGTTTCTCAATATATAATTACATAGAAGGTATGACTTTTAAATCTTTTTATATTATTTGGAGCATTTGAAATTGTTTAAAAAACTATTTGTGGCGTTTGAAAAAAATATTGCATGTTCTATTCGGAGTAAAAATGATTTTGTGCCTCGGCTGTATGTCAAACTTACAGTGTCGCCACAAAAAGTGTCATTTCTACTCCTAATAAAACAATGTACTATTTTTCACCAAGGAAAGGTTAAATTATTTTTATATTCTCACGTCTTAACAATTTTAACTATCTATTTTTTAATTTCTTACCTTTACAGGATCACCTTCTTCATCTGATGATTCCAACAGAACATTTTCGTCATCGGAAATAAACGAGTCATCTGAACTACTATACTCAAGATCATCTTCGTTCTCACTCAAGTCCGAATCTTCATCACTCTCTGCTTTAACAATTTTTCGCCTTCTCAGCTTGGTTTTGGACTTTTTTCTACCGCAAATCAAATCCTTCAAATATAAAAATATTTTGTTTATATTCTACAAGGCGAGTAAACTATAAACTCTATGATCTCATTTATTTTAGAAATTAAATGAAACAAAGCTCTAGATTGTAGGAAGTATATTTTACAATATTTTATCAATAAATGAAAATGGTATACTTTCGCAAGAAGTTTTTCCGTATTTATGTTTAGAAAAATGGCTAGAATAAAAAACAGAAACGTGTTTTCATGTCACCGATTTCAGCTATTTTTTATATTTTTTTAAAAAAGTTGAAAAAATGAAAATTATACCCTTCCGCAGAAAGATTTTCGTGACATTCTATTTGGAAAGGCTTTGGAATACTAAATAAACAAATATTTCTTTCATAACTCTATATCTTTCATAATTTAAACTCTGAAAAATATTGGCTAAAATATACGTGAACACCCTGTACAGGGTGAGTCAACGATAAAGTCCATGGAGATACCTTTAATTATCTCATTTGTTTCGAGGTTTACAAAAAAAATGTTAAGTATAAAAGTTATAAGGTTGTTAATGTTTGTCATGTTAAAATTAATTATGATGGAGTATACAGAGTGCTTCAAAAATGTGTGCCAGATATAACATATTTTGTTTAAATTCAATACCCTTTTTTATTTTATTTTTAGATTCTGGGTAAAATCCTTTTTTTTTTTAATATATAATGTTATATACCTGAAAATAGTTTTTGTAACATTTGAATTTGTTTAAACAAATGTTAGATTTCAGTGTGGTAAAAAATTGTCAGTGATGCCATTGTTTATGAAGTTGGGCGATTAAAAATTTAGTAGGAAAGTTTTATAGAGACAAAGAAAAAAATATATGTAAAGATTTATAAATTTTAACCACTTAAAATTAAAAATCTCAAATTTTTTAAATGACACACCATATATATTATTACCATTTTTTCTGACAGATTTTACAAGATTCTTCATCTTTTATAAGATATATCATATACCAATTTTTAATAGTTTGCGAACTTAAGCTTGGTTTTCATGCAACCGTTGTCCGACGATACGTTGATACATGACCAACATGACAGACAGGCCAGAGACACCGATTTGTGACGTCACCGCACTAGTCCGGCTTTTGTATTGTGCCATATGGTACTGCATATAGGTTTTGCACAAATAATAGTATTTATTGATAGTTTTGCCAGATATAAATATGAAAAATATTATACAGAAAGGTATTAAAAAATAACATTAACTTTTTATCGCGTTAAAGTAATTGAATTGCATTAAAATTTAGATCTAAAGCACGAATATTAATATGAAATAAACTACAGCATAAGATGAACAAAATAAAATCTAGATAATAAAAAGCGTGTCCTAAAACTGCGTCAGCGAGTATTTAGCAACTAGTAATAATATACCTGTGATAAAAAAATTCCAAATATTAAAAAATTTGAAAACTATACGTTTATCGACAAGTCAAGAAAATGTATTGTATATGATAACGACAGAATACATTTTAAAGTTTAATTAAAAATAATTGTAAAAATTTGCCTAACATATTTAAAAAATGTGGATATCAGATAGAATTAACTATTAACATTAAGTAATTTGTAGTTCGATGTTCATCAAGTAACCATCTCCATAAATCGTAAATAAAAAGATAAAGATATAATTTTTTTATATAAAATACTGAAATAAAGTACAAATTCATTTAATTTCTTTAAAATATATTGCCATTTCATAATAATAATAATACTTTTCAATATTTATTCATCCTGAATTTCCAAATCTTTAGATAACGACAGAATACATTTTAAAGTTTAATTAAAAATAATTGTAAAAATTTGCCTAACATATTTAAAAAATGTAGATATCAGATAGAATTAACTATTAACATTAAGTAATTTGTAGTTCGATGTTCATCAAGTAACCATCTCCATAAATCGTAAATAAAAAGATAAAGATAAAATTTTTTTTATATAAAATACTGAAATAAAGTACAAATTCATTTAATTTCGTTAAAATATATTGCCATTTCATAATAATAATAATACTTTTCAATATTTATTCATCTTGAATTTCCAAATCTTGTTTTCTTTCATCGGGACGTTTTCTCTTTATGGGAACATGCAGAGAGGGTCCATAAGAGGGTTGATTTGGAAAAATTGTAGGCACAGCATGTTCTATAGGTTTTGGACGTGACCTAGTTACAGTTAATATTGTTGGGAAAGAGAATGTAGACAGATCCTGAGGACTTATTATAATTGCTGCTACAAGGCACAGGCACAGAACAATGTCGCGGAATTTTTTATTTCACAAAGTAAAAATAAAGAAACGAAAACTGTTTTACATAAAAATACACGTCACTTACGTTGGTTTAACACTATACACTAACACTAACGTTATTATGTTTTTATATAAATTCCCCAACTTTTTCCTAGCCGGCATCGCCGGTGTTACTATAATTTTTACCGAAAGTATGGTTTTTTCGCGGGTACGATGTTATGAATCGGATCTAGATAGTTCACTATTCACTCAAAATTATTTAGTATAATTTTATTAGCATAGAAACGCGTAAAAAACACAGATTTGTTGCGAAACTAATGAAAACAATTGGTTTGTTTACGACTACTAACTCTGGACCACTTCGGTAGAACTGTCAAAACAGTCAGGCCTTGAATATGGTGTTAGCCACGGTTGATACAATATTAATATCATTGATTGTATTTAAAGGTTTCGATTGGTTAACCGTTTCGAAGTCTGTATTCAACTGATAAAATTAATATTGTATCATCGTATCGTCGGACAAAGGTTGCATGAAAATCAAGCTTTATTCTGAATTTTTCAATTTTTAATATTTTTTTCCACTTCATTTATGCTAAAACATCTAGAAAACACCTAATCTATATTAGGATACTTAATAAAAGTTGAAGAGTTTTGCGAAATCTACTCGAAAAAATAATAATATATAGGGTACTCACCATTTGAAAAATTTGAGATTTTTTAATTTTAAGTAGTTGAAATTTATAAATATATTTTGAACACCCTGAAGGCATCTAATTAAAATATGTTAACATATATCTTTTTCTTCATCTCTATAAAACTCTCCTACCAAATTTTAATAGTTCTACTTCAGAAACAATGGCATATGGCATCACTGACAATTTTTTACCACACTGAAATCGAACATTTGTTTAAACAAATTCAAATATTACAAAACACAATCTAAAAATAAAATAAAAAATAGGGTGTTGCATTTAAAAAAATATATTATGTTATATCCGCCACACTTTTTTGAAGCACCCTGTATACTCCATTATAATTTTAAAATATGTATCTTAACCTTCCCTATAACTCTGATATTTAACATTTTTTTATAAATCTGGAAACAAATGAGATAATGGAGTTTACTCTATCGTTGACTCACCCTGTACATTATTTTAAAGTTACCAACCTTTAAAATTCCACTTGTTTTCTTGCTATCCTCCGGTAACGGATAATTTAAAACAGCTTCCTGTATGTTACTGGTAATGTTCTGTACGATTTGAGAGTAAATACTTAGTGTAAATGCAACTAAAGTTGACAATTGGGCAGAATTGTCGGTTTGTAATTTGGAAATTGTCAGTAAGCAAATAACTATAATTTTAAAAACCATTTGGCTGCTGATTGATGTAATTTCTCCATCTGAGTTCTCTACGTCTGTTGTTGGAGAGATGCCCGATTCGCTCAAAGCTAACTTAGAAAAGGCAAGACATTCTCCTAGGTTTTTGTTGGTTTGGTGACACAAACTGTATACTTTGGACACTTTTTTATTAAAATACCAAATGTCTATTAGTAATAAAAATCTAAAAGAAAAAGATATCCCTATATTATTCAACAGATACAAACAAAAATATTATCCAAAGGCTCCAAAAAGAACATTTTTTATCTAAATGAAATTTTAAAAGCATATGTAGGTTAATTGAAAGCATTTTATAAAAGCTTACCTCGCAATAAAACATTTAATACTTTCAGCCTTGCTGGGTTCAACAATACAATCAGCATCTTCATTGTCATTTAAGGTCAATTTCTCGATAATTTTAGAATTGTTTTCAAACAGGTTCAGTAAATTGTTGCTGGTCCCTTCGAAAGGATGTTTACACATTAAACAACGTAAGTAATGATAGGCTGCATCCAGAAAGTTGTTTTGGCTCATCGCTAATGTGCCCATTTGGTTGTGAGGCATCCCATATTGAGGTTTGTATGAAATTGCTTGTAGGTAGTACCTGCTTGCTAGTGATGGTCCTGTATTTGGTTGTATTTCAAGTTTATACCTGCACAAATCCCCGAGGTAAATTAGGCACTGATGTACTGACTGCTTAGCCCACTCCAAAGCCTCCAAACTTGTATCAGATGAATCATGGCTTTCTTCAAAAATTAAACAGCAATCGATGATATTTTTTAAGTTTAGCTTGAACTGCCACTGTAATTTCGATAAAATGTGATGGTAAAACCCTATTCCTGCGTTTATATGAGCACAGAGACAAGATATCTCATCAGAAGTAAACTCCTTCTTTTTGATGCTTTTGGCTGTTGATACTACTTCATAAAACCCTTTTCTCCATAGTAGTTCTTCCAACTTTCGGCCATATAACACTGGATCTGAGAAAATCAGCCTTTCGCAATAATCGCAAAACTTTCTACGCTGTGCTTTGAGTACGGGCGTGAATAAATCTGGTACTGTACGTATACAGCTGCGAGCATCGTCTAAACGTTTAGCATGCTCACTTATTGTTCTAGAAATTAGTTAATACTCACATTTGGCTTAAGGACACAAAATATACTTACCTATAGAGCTTTTTGGAGAGCTCCAAGCCCTCTTTTTGTTGAATATCTATTAGGTTATAAGTTTTCTTCATTTCAACTCATCTTCATGTAAGCTGCTGCTGGTCAAGAGTTTCTAAGCTTACTTATTTGCTCGAAAGTTTTGGCGCATGAAAAACGTAAAAAATTCATTGTACCATATCTAGATTCGCTAATAAAATATTTTGACACCATTACAAATTCTTATCAATTTCCATGCGAAAAAAATATCATTGAACGTCAATGTCATTTTTTTTTCAAATCGACTTCTAGAAATATCGCTCTGAAAATATTTAATTTAAATTAAACTCGAGGATAGTGTTCAATTTTCCGTAGAAAATTCAAATTTTCCTTAAATTATTAGGGCGTTTTATAAAATATTTGAAAACAAAGTCCAAAAATTTACAGATTCCGTTTTTTATGATATCTGTCAGTGTCAGATTGGTGTCAGATGGGTGTCAGATGTTTTATATAATTTAGGTTAATCGGATATTTATTCAAGAAAGAATAAGTTAAAAGAGTAGACAAACAATCTTAAAATGACTGAATTTAAACAAGACATGCCCCCACAGGGTGGATATAAACCGATTAGCTTTAAAAGAGTTCCACCTCTGAGCTATTTCAACGGTGAGTATATTCCTTATTTTCAATTACATAATAAGCTTTTCATTGAGTTACTAAACAAATGTTTATGTTTTTACTAAAGAAACTCGTAACAGAGACACTTATAAAAGAACAGAGACACTTATAAAAGAACAGAGACACTTATATAATATTAATTATAGTTACAGTAGCACACTTAATGTTTTCTATGGATATTAACAAAGTTAAATGTATACTGTTGTCATTATTTACCACAATTTATCTCTTTAAATTGATTTTAGACAGAAACAATGCTCTGTTTTAGGATATGCCATATTCGGGATATACATTGGAGTGACTGCGGGGTCTGCATTCCTTTATCATCTCAATGTTAAGGCAGTAGCTCGACGAGAACTGGAAACTAAAGGCGCCAGTTTGGCCATTTATCCTCTTTTGCTGGCCGAAAGGGATAGGTCTTATTTGAAGCAGCTGAGGCGGAATAGAGAGGAAGAGGCCGACTTGATGAAGAATGTACCTGGCTGGAAGGTGGGAACGTGGTACGGAGAACCAATTTACAAGACTCAGAAGGATGACACATGGAACGATCCTAGCTATTATGAATACTTTGTTCACGCTAAATACAGCGATGTCGCTAAGAGAGGCGATATCTCTTTCATTTCTTAAGAAGGATGTTTTTACCTATCTTGTAGGATGTTTTATGAGATAATTTCTAATTAAATATTGTATATACCTTTTCTGTGCCTGTATTTTTCTTTTTCTGCATTAATTGATCTACCAGATAACTGCATTACGTTATAGAACTCAAGTAGTCGTTTTTTTACGTATTACTATATTGTAATAGCTCAAAATTATTAAAATATATTTAACTTTTTCTAATAAAAAATATCTTTTATTTCTATTGACAGTTCGATGTATGTCTGGTTGCCTATAGTCAACGACGAGAATATTTTTTAACAAATTCTTAAATAACGCTTTTATTTCCTGTAAAATTTCAAATTAATTAAAATTTATAAATTATGACACAAATACCAAATAACTTTTGCTAAAAACACAATTATTTAAATAATTTGTATTTAAGTTAATTATTTCCGCTATTCCGGAGGGTCGTAGGTGGCGCATGTGTGTCTCACCAGTTTGACAGCAGCGTTCCCGCTAGTCTTTTTTTTCCCTCCATTTTCCTATCTCGGCGCGTCTTAATTTCGCTCTTTTATAATTTTTTATATTTTATCGTTAAAACGCAATAAAAACTCTTCAAACTCGGTAAACTTATGGAAAAAGTGTTATTTAACAGTTTTTTGTGCAAACAGTTTCGCCAATCCCTCTAAAACACTTCGCAAATACAATTGTATTTTCGTTCGCGTCGCGGCCAGGACAGACCTAGGATGAATGTCGTCCAGCCACGTCGGTTTTGCAAAAATTCATTATAGCCTAAGAATATAAATCCTGAGCTAAGTTCGTTAAACGATTATCCCGCGAGATATTAATTTTGGGAGGCTCGATCGGTTTGTACTGGCTGATTGCTGTATATCGCGTCGCGAGTGATGGATATTTTCTCGATTTTTCTTTCTTAAACAAGATGGCTACCGCAAACAACGTAAGAAATATATTTTAAAATCAAATTAAATTATTAACAGAAGAATTTTTATATTTCAGATCAAAAATTTCAACAATTGAGTTAGCGTCTCCTATATCAGCGCCACCTATTGGAAGTTTTGTCATCTACTAAGGTTAGATTTTTTTAGATTTTTTTTACTTTTGAATAAATTAAAAAAAGGAATCAAACTTTTTAATGGTTACTATCCTTTTTAATAGTTTTTTTTCTTTTTCAGGAACGTAGAGTTGACTATTATTGGTAAGTTTTAAATATTATTCTGGCTTTATTTATACCTATAGTGAGAGAATATATTTTTATAGGACAGAATATAATGGGTATAATAATAAATTACTTTTTACAATGAACCACAAACATAAAGTAAATATCAGTATATTTATTATATATACTTTAATTTTTCATTATCTTCATTTTATATTATACAGGGTCCGGCAATAGTGCGTCGGGCATCTGTAGCTTCTAGAATAAAAAACTTGAGAATTTTGTTTAAGTGCAAACCTAAAATATTTTAACTTCTATAGGGTGGCTCAAAAAAGTGTGAGTGGATCTGGATGATTTTTTTTAAATGGAACACCCATTATTGCATTTTTGTCTTCCTTTCAGATCATTTTGCATAATCCTAAGATATGAGTAAATATATTTCGATAGTTTCAGAGATATTAAAAAAAATCTAAAATATATATTTTTCAACCCTTCTTAAAAAAAATATTAAAAATACAAGAACTGTTCTGAAATTAAAACTATATTAGATATTTACTTTAGATGATCTGTTCGTACTTTGCTATAAATATGGTAATCGTAAATCATACAGGATATTCAATATTTTACGCCAAAGTTTCAAAAATATAAAATAATTTTTCTTGTTTTTTTTAAATGGAACACCCTGTATATTATTGTTTTATTTGATGGAGAATTAAGAAATAAACATTTTTTGTATTTAAAGTATTTCAAAATTTCTAATAGTTTTCCGGATACACGCAGTATTATTTCATATGGCGCTTTCAATGGTAAAATACGAGAGAAAAATCACTGGGTGGCTTTGATAAAAATTTACTGTGGAAAATGCCATATGAAATACAAAACCGGCAATATATACGAAACCGTTAAAAATTTTGAAATACTCTAAATCAAAAAAATGTTTATTTTTTAATTCTCCATCTATTGAAAAGATAATATACAGGGTGTTCCATTTAAAAAACAAAGAAAAATTATTTTATATTTTAGAAAGTTTGGCATAGAATTTTGAACATCCTGTATGATTTATACGATTTCCATATTTATAGCAAAGTATGTACAGACCATCTAAAGTAAATATGTAATATAGTTTTGATTTCAGGACAGCTCTTGTATTATTAATATTTTTTTTAAGAAAGGCTAAAAAATATATAATTTTTATTTATTTATTAATATCTCTGAAACTATCGAAATATATTTACTCATGTCTTAGGATTATGTAAAGTGATCTAAAGGAAGCCAAAAATGCAATAATATACAGGGGGTTCCATTTAAAAAAAATCATCCCGGTCCACTAACACTTTTTTGAGCCACCCTATAGAAGTTAAAATATTTTCCTGAAATACATCCTAGTACATACAAGGTACCTACTAAGAGCTACAGATGACCGACGCACTATTGCCGGACCCTGTTATAATAATTTTGATTACTTGATGGGTGTTTAACTTATTATGAAGTAAACTAAATTATTAACACAATAATAGTTTTTACAAAATTTATTTTTTTATTGATTAGACTATTGCTGCTCCTATGCAACCCGGTAGTACAAGAAAATGGACTTTTAAGTACAAAGTCTTGATAAAAACTTGAATTTTTAATAAAAGTTACTTTGAAAGATCTAAAAACGAATTGTGAAAGATTTTTTTAATTTACCACCGAGAAGGGGTGAAATAAATAAAATTATTTTTTCGAAATTTCGGAGAAACGGTAGGAATTAGAAAAAAAAAGTTCAAATAAAAGTTGTGGCGTGTCAAATTTTACATAGAAATGATCTCATTTATTTTTGCACAGATCAAAATAAATTTAAAAAAAATTATAAGTTGCAGAAAAATTCATATATTTAACATTTTTATTCAATTTCGTTGGAAATTAAAAATTTCAATTAAGATTTTTTTAAACTCACCTCGAGAAGCGGTGAAAAACATAAAGTGTTTTTTTTTTCAAATTTTATTTATTTATTTCACACCTTTTCTGGGGTGAATTGAAAAAAATCTTTTATAATTGGTTTTTACATCTTTCAAAGTAACTTATATCAAAAATTCAAGTTTTTACCAAAACTTCGTATTTGAATACCTATTTCTTTGGTCTACCGGGATCTACCGTTTTTTTTTGAGCAGAAAGAAAAACTTACAAATATAAAATGTATAATGGCTGTCATTTTTTGCGAACGGGACGGAATGAGCCCTTAGGATGTGTTCAAAAACTAACTGGGCGTTTTAAAATTAAATGAATACTTGATGGAAAAACGTGAGCTCCATGCTAAGCGCTTTTTGGAGCAAGTTTTTTATTTTCAACCTGTTATATTATGATTTTGGCGCTCCCTGAAACTGCCGCTTTTAAAACCGGGGCTGCTCCTATGTTGGATTTTAAAAAGAGACATTTTTATTTACTCTTAAGGTGGTAAAATATTTTTAATAAGCGCATTCACCATTTTGTCATGATTAGCTAAATAGAAAAAATAATCTTTAGTTTGTACCTTCTTGTACTATAACAGTAACAATTTTAATAGAGATATCGGTGTTATTAAATATTAATAAATAATATTCTGTAAATTGTAAAACAATATTTTAATTCAGGTATCATTTATGGCATGGGTAAAAATAGACAAATACCTACACCAGTAATCGTTATTAAATCAGTCAATCAATCAATATACATGCGTTATCATTTATAAAAAATGATGGTTTCCATAGATGAATAAAAACATAATACATAATAGTATGTAGTTATTACTAAAATCCATCAAATAGCTATTTATGTAACTAGTACCTAAAATGATGTTTTTTAGGACGAATCATTACTGTTTGCGGACGAGGCGTTAGCCGAGTCCGAAATAGTAGATGAGTCCTAAAAAACATAATTTAGGTACGTGTTACATACACTATTTTTTGTCATACGCTTTTTACAGTTTTTTAGAACGCATATTTGCAAATTTTCCATAAAATTATAATGTTTGAAAAAGTTGGCTTATAAATTCATATCTTAGTAACGAGTTTGTTTATTTCATCGCATTTTGACATGTCATTCGAAATTTGTCACAAAATCACACAAATTCATCAACAATTTTAAAATGTTCCAAAATCCCGAACATATTGCTAATAAGGCCAAAGAAATCGTGTTGGATTTACTTCCTGTGAAGTCTCGTGCCATTTACCAGAAAGAATATGATGTTTTTAATGAATGGAAAGACAAAAATGGCGTATTCGTTGTAAATGAAGATGTATTGCTAAATTATTTCCACGAAAAAGTAAGTACCTAGGTACCTATTTAAAAGAGGCTTTTAAATTAAAATATTCTTAAATTACAGTCACAAACATTCAAACCATCGTCAATTTGGTCGAAATATTCCATGCTGAGAGCAGTGTTAAGTGTTAAAGAAGATATTTATATTGACAAATTTCCAAAACTTATTGCTTTTTTGAAGAGGAATTCGGTTGGTTACGAGCCTAAAAAGTCTAAGGTTTTGTCCATAAAAGAGATCGGTGATTTTTTGGCCACGGCTAGTGATGAAACTTATTTACTTACTAAGGTAAGTTTGCGATAATGATTTTTAAAATATATAGATGGTTTCTTATTCCATTGTATTTGATTTTTAGGTAGCTCTTGTCATTGGCCTTTGTGGAGCATGTAGAAGAGAAGAATTGTACTCTCTACGAGTGCAAGACATCATAGAAAAAAAGACAACAGCTGCCTTTTAGTTACCCTTTTGCGGATACAAAAACTAATATCAAAAGAGTGTTTCCGGTGGTGAACGAAGGGAACGTTGTCAATCCAGTTGAGTTGTATAGAAAATATGCTTGTCTTAGGCCAAAAAATGTACCACATGATTATGTCTTGTTTGTGACTGTAATTTAAGAATATTTTAATTTAAAAGCCTCTTTAAATAGGTA